ATCCTATTTTAAGTACATACTTTGCAATTTTTGTGACCCTTTTTCAAAATGAACTAAATTTGTAACTTTTTATAATTTTTTGCAACTTTTTGAACCTTTACGAACAAAATCATTTTTCTTTTACCAATTTTAAATAAAAATTCTATCGTAAGTTCATACTCTAAAGCTAAAATGTTGGTCAGTGAATTTTGTTTGGAAAAAATACTGATTCTGATACAAATTCTGAATTCTCTACTATCTAGTTACATAGTCTGTCCCTCTGCCTGCCGTTGGCGCGTTAAACGCCAACAATTGTACAAAATTTTCGAACGATAATGCCGCTTTCAAGAAAAATATATTGATTTATGGGCATTTCCAAAATGTCGAACGCTACACTCGAACAAATTTAATGTGATAAAAAGGTCCAAAAAAACTTATTTATTTTGGAAATAGGCGTCACTTACAGCTTTTTATTAGCCCTATAATTGGTGCTAACTTTGATTTTGGCCAAATTTTCATTTCAAAGATAATTGCAAAAAACTAGGGCGTTCGAACGCTACAAAAATATAATTTGTTTTTTGGGTAACAATTCAAACGTCGATTTCAATGAGACTAATTTTGAAATGTTGTTAACTGATAAAATGGTTATAATTTTGCCCAAAAATTATTTACACTTTTTTGCAATTTTTTTTCTTCATGATATTTATATTGTTCCTATTGCTCCTTTGAAAATATTTACATACAAAGCCTTTTAAACATATACAAAATATGTAGGAAAATACAACCGGGCATGGTCGACGATTAACACTCTTAAGCAATTTATTGATAAAAATGAAAAATGGTGTTATATGGGAACTAGGATTAAATGTGGACCGATCCATATGAAATTTTGTGGTGGGATTTACGATTATATAAAACTTATTTATGCCTAATTTGAACACAATACTAATGCAAATTTAAATAATTTGCTGAAAAACTACCTTGTATGGGTGCTAGGGTCAAATTAGGCCCAATGATTGCAAAAATCGACAGTACGGTGGACAATTATATAAATTATATATCTGCCGATTTTTGTTGAAATACTAGTATAAGCGTTGTTTAGGGGTCCGGTTGTATGGGACATATGTGAATGGACCGATTTTAAATATTTTTAACACACTTCGTCTCCAGTATAATGGAAGCCCAAGTATCAATTTTTTTTTAAATTATCATCAAAAATGCGATTGATAGAAGTTTTTATATTTGTCCAGTCTTGGTAGACCTTCTCATGGAAATGCCCATATACATATACTTATACACGCACTATAGCTCGAAAACAACTAATGTTATGTGAAAATATTCCTCAATGTAGGAAATTCCAGCGTGATGTTTGCAAAAAAACAGATTTTTGTAACCTATGAACTCCAATATCTCGCTTAGCGAACATGATATTTTCGGTGTCTTTTAATCCCTTACTAACTATGCTAAGGAAAAGCTATGTGTCAATTTTCATTTAGCTATCTTAAACTCCGTAGCCAAACCCTTTTTTTCCTGGGCTACTTAAAAACATTTGATTTTCATATAGAATATATAAAAGCCTTCAATAAATGAAATGGCATCAAACAAATTATGACTCGTGTCCTTTTCTAATTTTAAATTTCGCAATATTTTTTTAAATATAGAAAATGAATTGTCCTTTAATACAAATTGTATTAAAGGACATAATGGATATTGAATTGATATTTTCATCATAGCAACTTAATTTAAAAGTTTAAAAATAGGATTTGTGTTTACAAATTTATCAATACTCCTACGTTATGTGTACCAGATACATTTTTAGTCCATGTACTAAATAAATATAAACAAATACTACGAACTACATTTATAAGAAAAACATAATTTTATTTTTATTGACATACGAGTTCGAATAAATTATGTAGGTAAAGTTAGAAATAAAAAAATAAATAGAAACGATTATATACATATACATGTTAATATACATACATATGGACATTCCAAAAAAAAAACGCACAAATAATCGCACAGAAAGAAGAAAAAATGAGAAAAACGTGTTAAACAATTCGAACGGAAGCATAATTTTCAACAAAAAAGGCAAATCGAAATAATTTCTTGGTTAAATTTTTTAGTCACACTGACCAACAAAGAAAGTTGTCTAAACAAAAACCGTGATTGCCTTAAGCCTCAACAAACTGTACTCGTTCGTACTGGCCGCGCTTAAAAGTCATTAAAAGGTTTGCTGCGAAAAAAGAAAAACAAAAAACAAATAAAAAGCCAATGAAAAAAAATTTTGTTAAATACCGCATTTTTTAGTTAGTGGCAGTTGTTGTTTGGGGAAGTTGAAAGAAAATACACTTTTGTATGATGAAATATGTATATGTATGTATGTAAGTATAAATACATACATATATCTATGTAGTATACTTAAATGTAGTCCAACAAAATGCAGTGATTGCATTATTTTCTTAGTACAGTGTCAAATAAAATTTGTAACAAACTGATATTAAATTTATGAACAGACCTACTTTTGTTAATACTTCCATGTCCACACTTTAATTACCATAAAAACTTGAAGAAAAGTATATAAACATTTAAAATAATATTCAAAATATAAAAGAATGGTAATATTTTGAAAAGAAAACAAGTCAAGAAAAAGCAATTTAGGTCAATAGTTAAATAGTAATGCAAATGTTGTAGAAATGTTAAACATTGTACTTAATTATAAAAATGTAATTTGTAAATAAAAGTATTTTCTATACATACATATGTATGATATTTTCAATAAAAAGAGAAATTAGAGATTTCTGTCACATTTTAGATTCGTTGTTTTCATGAGTACTTATCGCAGGACTGTTGTGCGTAATTGTTCCAATAAATGGGACAGTAATATTCATAAATGTCTAAGATATGCGCATGACTGTGCATTACCAATAAAGCAATAACTTGATAATGACAGCAACTTACTACATGCCGTCCGCATTATTTTAAAGTAGTTTAATAATGTCTTACATATAATCATATACGTAAGTACTTATTTTGAGATTTGCCATTTTCTTTGCATATTTTCTTTGGTCGCGTTCTAGCAATGTAACAAAATGAATATCGAATTTCTGTGTGAAAGCCATTATTTGATTCACAATAAAATAACCAAACAGTGGTGTTGTGACTATGACTTATGAACAAGACCCTGGTTTTTTAACTCACTAAGGGTTTTCATTTAAACGTTGCCTACTTGCACAAAAGCAAACTTAATCGTTTAAATGAAATAGTATTTGAAATGACTTATTTCTGTACTTATTTGTAAACTAGCGTAATAGGTACTAAATTGTTAATGAATTAATAGTGAAAATTAGTTTTAATAACTTTCAACTAATTACATTTATACGAAGTTTTACCAGAAGCAATTCTTTAAAATTGTAACTGAATTTATCTAAATTTGCTCTTCCTGTAATCAATTTATGTACTTTTAAACCATCCTAGAAAAAATTGTATTAGTTCCACAACTAGTTCTAGAAAGCATTATTTAGTCAGTACTCGTTCTAGTTTGGAGTTGATAACAATGATTTTTGTTCCAAATTGACACCTTTGGAACTGATTCTGAGGAGCGTTATTGAGTCGACACTTATTCTTTGGCACGGTTCTGGAATCTCTAATCTCTAATCAATGACTCTTGTTCGAATTTGTCAACCTCGGAACTAGTTCTAGGGAAGTTTTAGAGAACATGTACAGAGTACATTAAGATTGGGACCGATCTTGAAAAACATTTGAAGAATTATTATTGGTCCAATTGTATTTGAAACTCATTATCATTCTGATATAAAAATTTCATATTTTATCCACTGTGCCTACATATATTCTGTTAAAATATTTTTCGTACAGGATATACGAAACTAGCAGTTAACTATGCATTATCCAGGTACAATTAAAATGGGGACCTCTTTAGTTCCTTTTAGTTTAGTAGTATTTAAAAATATTCATATGAATGCGTTTTCAATTTTGATAACAAAAAAGTTTATACATTTTATTTTTTTGGACATTTTTTATAAACTGAAGTGGTTTTGAAACTAGTATGAGTTCCATTTAACTAGAGTTTACCTTTGTATAACCAATCTATAACTAGTTTAAAAACTATTTAGAAGTATTTTAGAACCACAACAAAGTTCCGAGGAATATGTTCCACAAGTTATGGCGACATTACTAGTTTCAAGGTTATTGTTTAAGAATCAGAAGTGGTTCTCTTTGCACTCGTTCTAAAACTATGAAGTTTTTTTAGAACAAGTTTTACATTTTTCCTGGGATTTTTCACATATGAAAACTTAAATAAATAGAAAGTATTTACAATGCGAATAATTTAAACTCTTAGCAAACCACAAAAAAGTTTGCACCACTTTTTATTGGGAGTATGTTTTTATTAATAAAAAATATTTGGGTGATTTATTATATATGTCTTTCTGCGTTTTTTCATTGGTTCTGTTAGCTAAAGAAAACGATTTTTTATTTATAAATGCACGGGCTTATACGATTTAAATCAAATAATGAATAAAAGTGTAGCGATAAATTGTAAATATTTGGCTGTTATAAATCACCAGGAAGTTATAAACGTTGCATAAAGTTAGAGCTTAAAAAAATAATATTTTTGGTAAATTAAAAGTTCCAGTTTATTACTGAGTGGCTATTACTTGGGTGAGCCTGAATTAAATCAAAGAAAATACCAAAAATTATGAATAACAAAGAAAAAAACCCACAAATATGAATAAAAACAAAACACTAAACAACAATGAAATGACTCATAATCGTGTCAGAAACAGTTACTGGTTTTCTAATAACAACAACAACAACATTTGCAGCAACTACATAAAAATGCAAAAAACAATTATTGAAAAGTTATTTTAATAATAAATATTGCATCATTAATTGGCAACGTACTGCCGACCATGTTAAATGCAAATAAAAATCAAAAGACTGAAAACACAAACGCGAATACTTGATTTCGCAGAAATTGCAAATTTTTCTTGGATACTTACAATTTTTTACCGATGTATATCCTTCGGCTGCACTGCTGGTATTGTCACCGCCACCGCCATTCATTAGATGACCGTTGGATTGACGTCCCACACTGTTGAGAGTTGTGATGCTGCCAGCACGTGAACGCCAACCGGCATGACTAGCCGACGATGGTGATAAATGTTGCTGTTGAAAGTGATGATGATTATTGCCATTGGAGAGACCAACATTGGTTAGATCACCATTTGATTTGCTGGCCATGTTACTTTTCAGTGTACCATATACACTGCTGCCAGCACCGCCGCCCGTGCTACCCGTCTCCAATTGGCGAGCGTATGAATTGTCGGCATAGGCATGAAAACAGCATCTGACTAGAGCATTTGCAGCTGCCTCACGTTTGCAAATGAACACGTGACATTCGAGTACTTTGATGCCAGTGGTACGACGTAGAATGGCTGCAAAAATGGGTGGATGTTGAGCTCGCGGCATGCGTGCAAATGGTGAATCGAGAGGCAGAAATTTCGGCTCTGGATTAGAGTTGCCACGCTCTGGTATAAGCACTTGTCTTACGGCTGCACAGTAATGCAGCGATTCAATGGGGAAAAATCTGGTGATTTCCTTGAGATTTTCATCAACATTTTCTAGTAGAATACCATTCGACCAAACACTCAACCAGGAGTCTATACCTTTGGCGCCAACTGCACCTTCTGAGGGATAAAGACTGCGCAATGGTTCTTGTATGCCTTGGAGGCCATCTTTGCTTTGACGCGGCACTGCACTGCCCAGATACAATACACGACAACGACATATTGGCGTGGAATCACCCATTTTGTTAATAACTTTTGCAATAAGGAGGAAGTTCTAAAACGGTGCAGCAGTCGTTTCGAGGGGAAAATATAGAGACGAAGAGAAAGACTTGGCAATTCTGTGGAAGCAAATAATTTACTTCCTTGAGAACACGTTTTCAAAGTATTGTTGCTGGTGTTGGTATTCTGCACAACAACAATAAAGTATTCAGTTTTAGCCAAGCAACAAACAACAAATGAAACGATGTAGAAGAATGAAAGAAGACGTAAAAACAAAATGTAAGGAAAACAGAACAAGAACAGCTTGAAGAAATGAAGACGACGAATGTTTAGAACGAATCGTTGGCTTAAAATGTGACAAGACCGTAAAACTTAGATACTAAACAATCACGTCAAACCGACACGACGACAAAGCGACAAAACGACAATTGAACAATAATTAACGAACGACCGATCGTAGTACGTACATACGATTGTATGTCTTTTCTTTTCAGGTCTATCTCTTTACTTGGATTTTGCTAGTTCTTTTTGTGTTGCGATCAAGTTGTCTTGATTTGTTGTTTATTTTTTCTGTTTTTTTTTTTCGTATTTATTTTATATTTTGTTGTTGGCAAAAAGGTTGAATTTCAGGTTTTAAACGTAGTAGAATTTCTAGGTTTCTTAGAGAGCAGAATTTAGAAACTCTTTATTCTTTGGAATTATTATTATTTTCTTGCCTTTTTCGTTCTTTATGCACAAGTTTTGCTTAATTTCTTTAGAATTTATTAAAAAAATATTTCACAGGTATTTATTAAAAACTTAAACAAATTGCAAAATCCAAATGGCGTAAAGGAATTTTTAATTTTTTTTTTATAATTTTTTATGCACGTATTGTGTAAGTCGTAAATGATGTTGTTTTTGTTCGGTGTTTTTTTTTAGAAATTTCGTTTTAAAAAAATTATGGAATTTCTTTTTTTGTTTTTTTATTTCTTAATAAAATTAAAAATCTTTTTTTAGTGGAAGTTTAACGATTTCTCTTCAAAGCTTTTTTATTTATACATTAAATAAAGAAGACAGAAAAACAAAAAAATATTTAAATTTGCACTTTTCACTTTGTTAATCACATCACATCGTCTCGTCACCAATTCACATACCAAAAGACGTTTTACCTCATACACTCTCACTAAATCACTGTATTCCTCGTATCTGTGTGTGCACAAATCAATACATGTTGCAGATGTATGTGTACGTTGTGCACTGGTATTTGTAATAAAAATTATAAAAAAATATTTTTTATTTGAAAAGTTCACAACCGAGTATCAATGGATAGAATAAATAAAATGAAAAATGTCAGTGTTTTTTTATTTTCTTGCTTAGTAAGTTGAATGTGTGCGTGTGTATTTCGGAAATGCCCGCTTAATCCATCCGTATGATCGTTGTTAACGCGGCGCAGGTTCACTCAAGAATACTCCAGTGTATATTGTATCTTTAAGCAACTCGTTATTGTCTAGACTTTAGGCCTGTCTTGCTGAGTTGTTTTACCACTTTTTTCATACGACTTTGGCATTTTACAGATACACTGCTCACACATACTTTCAATCCATTAAGACAATTTACTCTCTTACTTATACAAAGATACTAATATAGTGAGAGTGTAACCAAAATATCGCATACTAAATATTTCTAAGAGTTTTCAAATCGGCCTCTTGTTCTCCCTCTTTCTGCTTGTGGGCCTCGTACTACCTTCCTCAATGTAACAGGTAGTTCAACGTAAACTTAAAGAAAATATAACGAATATTATTCGATACTCTAAGGGTGGATTAACGTATTATCTGGTATGGAATTACCTCTGCTCTTGGTTAATTTTGTATTTGCATGTGTTTCAATTTATACAATGTTTAACATACCGACAGACTTCCAACCATATTCGTATTTGCACTTGTTATTTTACTGTTTTACTAAGAATTAATAATTAAAAATAAAAAAACGCATTTTTACGACCTGTTGAAAACCCGTTAATTACCGTAAATACCGAAAAAAATATTCACTAAAACTTATACATATTATCAAGTAATAAATAATGTACTCAAACAGTGTTACAGTCAGTCAGTGTTCTTGCAAAATAGTCACGTTTATTATACATGCCTTAAGTAAGGAATTTATTGGTTTTGGTATGTGTATCTATTTGAGTGTGTATAACAATTCTATCGATTGTTTTAAATCTAGTTTATTTTACTCTCAATTGCCATAGTTAGATTTTAGATACATTCTCAATAAGGTTACCGGTTATAGATATTTATCTGTATCTAAAAACTTATATGATTTTATTTACTATCACACATTTGTAAACATTGGATTTTGTTTACAAATCTCTAAATAAATGCTTGTTATTATAACGAACGCTACTCTTTTAAGCACTATTATCTAATTTTGGTATGAATTTTTAAGTACACTTATAAAAATACAAATAAAATAAAGACATACATACATTTAAATATATGTATATATTATATAACAAATCTATTTAACTAGTAGCAAAATTAATTCAAAAAGTTTTTTCCTACTGAATACTTTTTTCTCAAATATTTTTAGTTTTCCCTATTCGAATCACCTGGACTTATGGAAAGATGCGGCAAAATGCAAAAAAGTATATCAACATCTGGCTTCAGAGAGGGCGGTGATAGACAATCTGTCTTTTTCTAGCTATAGTTTCACTTAAACTGTGGGAGGGCAGATTGTCCACCACCTGGGAATCTTGTATTCCTCGCGGATCAAACAACTGAAAAAAACAAATATGGAAAACAAAATGATCGGAAGCCGTCCCAGTCCAAAAATATCGCGATTTAAAAACTACTTAAACTTCAATATTATTTTTGATTTCATATTAAAATTTACCTTTAACCTTACTTCCAAAAGGTTAAAAGTAAATTTTCGTGTGTATTGTGAATTGGTATAAATGCAACTAAACTCTCTTCTTTATTCTAACGACTTTCTAGAGCACTGAGGAGGAAGTTGAAGATAATGCTTTAGAGTTCATTCCACGACACTCTAAAGGAAATATCGAGTTCTCCCTGAATATCTGATGCAAAGAGGATCAAGTCCGCCGTGGAGTTGACAACTCAGAATAAACACAAGAAGAAAAAGAGCTCCTCCTCTTCTAATGTACAGTCGAAGCCAAACCTCAGTCAAAGAAACCTCATGTCAGAATCATGACAATGCCATGTCAGATATTCCGATGAACACGTCGGCGAAATCAACCTCGAAGGTTTGGATGCCCCGAAAAGCGGAAGAAGAAGCAAGACATTGGAACAAGAGCCGTAATCCTTCGCCAAAGTTGCCAAAAGAAGACACAGAAACGATCTCTGCTATGCAGTATATGATGTCGGTAATCGGAAAAATTTCGGTAGACCAGCAGAGTAAGATAGAAGATCTGGTCAACAATCACTTCAAAGGGATAGTGAGCTACGAGTACATCATGGGCATGATGTTAATTAGGTTGGCATCTCAAAAATGTGCTGGCACAATGAAGAACTTGGTGTGCTGCCCAGTAGAAACCCTCCTTGGGGGCAAAGAAGGTAAATCTTCCGGTAGTAACATTTTAAAAGCGAGGAGAAAATCACTCACTCGCAACTGTGCTTCCAAAATTAGGAAGGTGCCAATTAAAAATTGCTACCCATAGGCCTGAAAAGGAAACGACATTTTAATAGATGACCATGATTAATATTACCTAAATAAACCTCCATCGGAGCGAGTCGGCTATCAACGCTCTGATGGCTAAAAAACATAGGTAAGATACATATATCCTTAAATCAGAAATTTTGTTTCGAATCGTCCAATGGTCAAGTAAATGTCCAACTTTTCTACGCTGATATGAACATGTATCTTATGTCACAGTAACTAATGATTTCTCCTCTCAATAGGATTGTCAACATTGGGTGCAACGGTGATCAAGCAAGGGTGTGGAAACTAATTCCTTGTATTTGTTTACCTCCCTTCGATTTTCTGATATTATCTACAACGTCGGATCTAATGAAACTGGTTGAAAAGGCGCAATGAAATAGGAAGAACTTTGTAATAGGTTGTGATGCCAACCCCACAATGTAGCTTGGGGTAGTACAGACATCGGACGATAATACATTCAGTGAATACTATCAGGCCTGCCACAGAATTCCAGTCCGATCGAAAGTGGAATTTTATCTTGTAAATAAATCGATAAAAGCTTAAAAAAATAATAACTTTAAACTATTGTCAATTCCACGTTGAAAATGTGAAGTGGTTTCATTTTGAAAAAGTTGTCATTTTCCTTTTTCGAAGAAGAAAATTAGGAAAGATAATTCCACTTTCGATCTGAATGGAATTCTATGACAGGCCTGTATATAAGATTTTGATTTTACCAACAAACACTATACGTTCAGAACGAAATTAAAGGTTGGAGGGTTTCAGACAGCTGCCCTCTGCGAGAGAGGATATCTGCCCAATAGAAACCCTGAGTAACAGGGAAGATCCGGAACCTTAGGAATACTCTTCGCAAAATATTTAACCGGGCACGGCGTAAAAAGACCGCGCTATACTGGGATGAGTATCGGTGTAAACATGTTGAATCGAGAAAATCCTTCGAAAAGCCATTCCTGGAAATTTTTCTGTGAACAGGTAGATATCGTAAATGACGTATCGAAGATAAACAATTCTTATCCAAAACTCATGTCCAACAAGAATCTATAATCGATGACATGGGCAGGAGGCTGGATCACAATGAAACTCTTAATGAACTCTCATATCCCACCTTGTGTATAGGGTACCATAGATGAACCGATATAGTGGAAGGGGGAGGCTTACACTGGTACTGTTTTTACAACTAGCCTCAACTTAAAACATTGGAATGGATAGTCGATAGCATAGTTAAAAGCAGTATACCAGACAAAGAATTCATGTAAATGGACCCTATGTAAAGTGCTCGGTGGAAACCGCGTTAAATGAAGCTAATTCGTTCGACAAGTAACTGCATACACTGGTAGTATGCATTAACATCGAAAGTGCATTCAATTACGTGTACAGTGTACACTGATAATATATTCATTGAATACTATAGGTATAAGGTTTTTTCTTTTTACCAACGGACAACTTCCATGAAAATAAGTGCACAATAGGAAATAGGTATTTCTTCGGATTTCATTTAGATTTCTCCATTCCTATATTCACGCTTAAAGCTAGCTTGAAAAAACGATGCTAACTTGAAGCGATGAATTCGACAGAAACAGGAAACAATGTGTTTAAATCAAGAATATTAACAGCAAAACTTGGTAACAGCGTTCCAAACAAGTAGGACATCCCAGGTGGCGTAATTTTTCTAGTAATGGCCTAATTGTTTTTAAGTCGATTCTTATTGAACTAGACAAAGTTGTAGCCTATGTGGACGATGTGGGGATTATAATATCAAGAATGTTTTTGGATATCATTAGTGACATCAGGGAAAAAGAAGAAACGGCCTTATACTTTCTCTGCGAATTCTCAGTTCTAGCTGTCCAAATAAATGGATTCGTTGCCAAACAATATTCTATCGAGCCTTGGTAAACTATCTGGGTCTAGACTTATCTCAAGCTTACATTGATAATTTTTAGATCTAGAAAGTTAATAAAGTGTTAAGTTGTTGTATATAAAAAATTGTCATAGAATCTTCCATAATCAAGAAAATTTTATTTATTTATTTTAATTATTTTTTAATTAATTTAATTAATAATTAATAATTTTATTACTCTATATTACCAATATGCACAGTTGGAATTAAAATGGTCTGGGTAAAAAAGTGTTTAGCAGTTGTGGCACCTTTGTAAGAGGTAAATATTTATTAACCAATATTTTAAAATGTTTAACTGTTAAACAGAGGTTAAAAATGATTGAAACAATAATGGGCGGAATCTATAGTGAGTGTGGTTATTATAATTATGTTATAAGAATTAGCAGGTTCAAAATAATTTGCGTAAATAAACCTAAAGACGGCCACGACAGGTTTCGCAATAACAACAAATCAAAATTTTTAATAAAGTAAAAATTGTGCAGTCGGTATCGATATAGAAATACAAATTCCTTCTAGAAATACAGAATGAATAATAAAATGAGAACAAGAATTCAACAACAAATTTCATAATTGATTACGAGAAACAATAAATTTCAATTGCACAAAAAAACAACAAATTTAGAGTTCACTCCTTGTTTTTATTTATGTGACTATTTGTGTGTATATAATTATCTAGATTATTGTGTATCTTGGAATGGCTTTCAAGGAATGTGGATTGCCCACGTCAAGTATTCTGATAAATATTTAAAATATCACATACATATAGAGTAAATTATTGATATTTGTGCAACTGCTAACAAATAAATAAGCAACAACAAATACCAAAAAAAAAAAAACACCCAATTAACATGGTTAAAAATCAGATTGTAAAATAAACAAATACAAGTTTACCGGTTTCTTTTACAAGCACATGTGTTCTCACAAATATTACGTAAAAAAAATAATAAAATTGACGTTGATAAAGAATCTCAATTGTTTTGATACTTAGTAGTATTTTGTGTTTGACCATGTAAACTTCAAATGAAGGTATATATTTACAATTGTGTATATTTTTCTACCAATATAACAGGCGATAATGATGCTTTGGAAATGTTTAACTCTTTAATGGTGAAACGGAAATCCTGTAGCTTAGGCATGATTTAACACTTTCATTTTGGGATTTGTGTTTGTAATCAAAGTACAGGTGGCTATTTTTAAGATAAAATTTGGAACACGCAATACTTTTGGCCGAAGGAGTAACCCTATTGATTTTAAATCGGTCCATTATTTCACCAATGTAGCTCCCATACAACGTGAATTCCTTTAAATATCATAATTGTGTTAAATTATGTATGCATCTTTATCAAAATTGACTCAATTATATTTTATAAA